CTGGCATCTTGCAGGCCTTGGGAGGCTCTGCCTGCTCCCGTGCCGATGGCCCCACCTATGGCCACACCTTCATCAGAGCCTGCCTATCCCAGGAGGGCATGGAAGCTTTATTGGACTTTATTGTTTGTAACCCTCAGGAGACAATCCGCAAATATGTACCATGATACACAAATACAGTAGTACCTCAGAACTCGAACTTAATGCGTTCAGAACTCCGGATCGAATCCTAAAAAGTTTGAGATTTGATCGAATTTTCCCCATAAGAAATAATGGAAAACCAATTAATTGGTTCCCGGCCCCAAAAAATTACACCTAAATATGATTTTTTTTTAGCATTTAAACACAAAATGAATCAGATATAACAACAAGAGCATATATTGTACTAAACACATATAAACACATTTACAAAACAGTAATTTGTAAAGTAAGAAAATAAATGTATCCAAACAATGTGTAAAGTTAAAAAAAAACAACGTGTCCTGCCCCGATCGTCCGCTCCTTCCGTGTGTCATGCCCCCTTGTTAACCCCGTGTGATAAGCTGTTTCTGGTTGTTTTCATTAGCCTTCTGTATTTTCGTCCGCATTTCAGTTTGATTCTCCAATCCGGTCATTGTATTGTCCGTCTGCGTTTTGCCTGCCTTACCTGTAATTAAACCCTGTATTCCCCGATACCCTGACGTCTACGCCTTTGTCTCCATTCCGTCCCCGCTCGGCACGACGATATTATAATTAATTGTTTAATGGTTTATTATTAATATTAAAATAATGAATAAGAAATCTTTATTTTAAAATGTATTTTATTATATAATAATATTCACTGTTGCTATCACAGTGAATGCGAGGCTGAGACTGAAGCTTTACCTTTTGTTTCCACTGAGAGATGTGCCACGTGACTCATTTCCCTGTGCGTACAAGTTATCTTAGGTCGGTGTTCACGGTTTGACTTCTGAGATTCAGATCGAGTTCTAGGTAAAAAAAAATTTAACTGGTTGGTTCCACTTTTAAGAAATTCGAGTTCTAATGGGTTCGAGAACTGAGGTACCACTGTATTTCACTATCCACTAATATGTATTTTTTTATCTTGTCATCTCCCCCCTGCTCCCCCTTTGTGTCTCAAATTTTACTGTATTTGACTCTCCCTGCCGGCCCCTGGAGGATGGGCTCCCCCTTTGAGTCTGGTCCCTCCGGTTTCTTCCTTCTCGGGAGTTTTTCCTTGCCACTGTCGCCTATGGCTTACTCACTGGGGGCTTTGGGTGGGGATGCTGTAAAGCACTTTGAGACGATGTAATGTTGTGATAATGCGCTATACAAAAATAAATGTGTTTGTTGTTTGTTTGTATTTGTGTTGTAACTCAAAAATGCATTTTCTAACTAAAGTAAACTGAAGTAATTACATGTTTGTGGATAGTGAGAGAGACGTCTCCTGACCGGCCTTCGGGACTGTGTGCTCTGAATGAGGGCTCAGATCAGAACAAACATGAAGCTGTTCCTGCCTGGGGGGACATGGGAGGGATTGTGCTCAGTTTGGGGACATGACAAGTACCCAACCATGAGCTGTGTCAAGGCTAGTTCATACTTCACTTTTCTGTGTGTAATTTCAGGCCACGGACAGTCTTGTGTGCGGAATCTTTCTTTCATATTATGTTTGGCTGCAGATGTAAATTTTATTGCCAAGATTTCAAAATGCCACTATAGTGTTGCTTCTGAAAATACTGTAAACCATGGCATAATGTCTGGACAGTATGAAAAATTAGATTCTGTGTGCAACCCTGACCCTCCTCATATAGCTGCTCACCATAACTGCTGCAACAACAGTTATTCTTTCTTTACTCTTTCTTGGTTGACCTCTGCTCTGTGAAAGTGAGAGCTGCTACCTACTGGAAATACCTAGTCAATTATCTTGCACATGCGCAGTTGACGTGCATGGACACGCATGGTCTCCAATGGATTAAAAAATCTGGGCTACACAGGCACCATCCACAGCCAACCTGCACAAACCCCCGATGATGAAATTTATGCCATCTCACCCTGTGACCAACCAAAAGCACATGTGGAAAAGTGAAGTATGGCATTTATAGGCGTGAGTGTCAGGATCTATGGCTATCTGGCCCTATTTCCTGTGTCTTCTCTGTTTGGCCAGCAGTTCCCACTGGCGATCGCATTTGGTGTTGCCCTAGTGCAGGGGTGCCCAACTCCAGTCCTGGAGGGCCAGAGCCCTGCACATTTTTGGGTTTCCCCTCATTTAACACACCTGATTCAACTCCATGTGCTAATTACCACACAGCTCTTGAGCTGAATCATTTATGGTGGAACAGGGAAAGAACTAAGCTACACAGGGCTCCGGCCCTCCAGGACAGGAGTTGGGCACCCCTGCCCTGGTGTGTCCCCCCTGGGCTGCCATGTACTGTAGTTCAGTGTATGACTCGGAGACAGATGTCCCTCTGTCATGAGTTCAGGGTTGCCTTGAGGCCGTCTTCACCTTTGTTTAATATTTTGGTTTTATTTTATCCCCTAGCACCTGGTATTGTTAATTTATGTCTTTGCTTTGTGTTCCTGTTAATGGTTGCCTTGCACTTGCCTTGTTTAATGTTCTGTTTTGCATGTGTTCCTAGTCTTTCCTTGTGTAGATAGCCTGCAGTGTTTGTTAATGTTTCTTAGACCCTGCCTGTTAATTGTAATATACCCCACCTATTCCTTGTTTCCCTGAGTCCTACCTGATTGGTTGATTAGTTATGGTTCTCACCTGTCCTTTGTCTTGTCTCGTTAGTAGTGTATTTAAGTCCCTGTTTTTGGTTTGTTCAATAGTGGTTCATTATGCCTGTTTTACTATGTGCTTCTTAGTTATAGTTACCTCGTGTTAGTTAGTAGTTTCCTGTGCTTCCTACCGACCTTTGGTGGTGTTGCTCCCTGCCTTAGTTTAGGTTTGACCTCTTGTGGTCCCTGTGTTTTCCGTTTCTCCCTTGATGTTCCATTTTGTTAATAAAACCCTGTCTTGTCAGAGCTGCTATGTGGATTGTCTCTTCCTCCATCAAACCCCGCCATAACAGTGAACAGAGAGGTAGAGGTATGAAACCTCAGTTCTTTTAAAAGACTGCATTAAAGAGCATTATCTCCCTCCACATCATGTCTTTGCCTCGATTCGTTCCACTGCCTACTCTCCCACTCAAGGATTCAAGGATTTTATTTAACAGTCCAACTGTAACCTGCAGTGTGATGTGGGGTGGTCAGCTCCGCCACAAGAATACAGAAAACAGTAAGACAAAGTAAACATGTAATAAATAAGGAACAGTAAAGTTATTCTGGTAATTAGAGAAAGAAGACCAGATATTCCATTCAACCTATTTTTACGTAGCACCTTTCACAACACCACAAGGTGCTTTACATGGGTGTGTTATGATGCAATACAGCATCAATAAAATAAAATGTGCAACATAGTCCCAATAAAGAGTTTGGTGCATGAATAACGAAGTTTAATTATTACAGTCAATTAGTGTTAAGTACTCTGATGGCCTGAGGGCAGAATCTCCTTCTGAGTTATTCAGTTCTCACTGAGAGACAGCAGAAGCACTTTCAGGACCTCAGCCCACCCAGCAGGTGAAGAGGTGGTTATTTGAGTGGGTCATGTCCCTGCTGATGTTGGCTGTTCTGCTCCTGTATCGTCTGAGGTGAATGTCCTGCAGTGTGGGCAGACCAGCCTTCCAGATGTATTCAACTAAATGAAATTGCCCTCGGCAGCTTTGTGGTCCAGAGCAGAGCAGTTACCCCTGTGATTCCCATAGTGAGGATGTTCTGAAGGATGTAGGACATGGCATCATCGGTGGAACGATTCATGTGATAGGCAAACTGAAGCGAATCAATGGTTGTAGAGAGGGTGGAACAGGTATAATCTTTAACCAGCTTCTCAAAGCTCATCAGTGCAAGGGAGGTCATAGCAAATGGGTGATAATCATTTAGGCAGGTGAGGCTGGATATTTTTGGAATACGAACGATTATGCATTTTTTAAACAAGAGGGAATCCCAGCACTGGACAGAGACAGATTGAAAATTTGTCGAAACACCCCAGCAAGCTCACTTGGGACGCAACAATAATAATAACCATCTAATAGCTTTTCCTGACCAAATACCATTGACTAAGGGTATAGGAGACAGTTTGATATTGAAGAGGAACAATATCTGTTTGGGGAATGGATGGAAATCTAATACATCTGTACACAAAATCTAATTCCTACTCCTGTGCCTTTAACCATCCAGCCCTTAAGAAAGACATGTGTAGGTTTTTTGCTTCAGATAATGGACTCTTTTCAAATGTCAAATAAGAACACACTATATTATTGCTTTAATAGACGTAACATTTTCATGCTTATAACTGAGAATTACGTGGTTTGCGTGATCACGAATTGAGCATGCGCAGAAGGACCAACATGGCGGCGCCCGTTGATACTCGTGAAAAAAAAATGAGCAAACATATGCAAAACTAGATAGTTGAACGTGCCTTTAGTTGTTTTGGTTACAAATCCGGACAACGAATGCTAAAGCGTCCGATTGTACACATGTCGTTTAAAGTTTTCTGCCAGAATACGAGGATATTTCCCAGAGTGGACATCGCATCTCTCCTTTTGCGAAGGACACTGTTAAGTACTGCACGATGTTTCTCTCAAAATGCAAGTCCTCCATCGTCGTCTCTAACCCTGGAATGGATGCAGGATGAGTCAGATCATCTGAAGCAACCAGCGAGGAAGAAACCGAACGAGTGCTCGGTACTGCTTTTCCCGGGCCAGGGTAGTCAGTTTGTGGGGATGGGCCAGGGACTTTTAAAGTACAGAAACGTAAGAGAAATGTTCGATGTTGCTCAGAAAATATTGGGCTATGATCTGCTGTCACTGTGCCTAAATGGGCCTGAAGAGGAGCTGAACAAGACGGTCCATTGCCAGCCTGCTGTATTCGTCACGTCGCTGGCCGCCGTGGAGAGACTGATTTGTGAAAAGCCTGAAGTATGTTTTTATCCCACATATTTTCGTGCTGTCATTGCCATCTTCTGTTAACTTTCTGATTATTTCAAACGCGAATGGAACATCCCGCGTACGGGGCTGCCAACTCTCACGCATCTGGCGTTATACTGACACTTTCAGGCTCTCACGCTAGAAATCATACGGCAAATTTATATTATTCCATCATAAATCTAAAATTAGTTAGGCTTAATCGCTAGGCACTGAGGTAGTATGCAAACCCTGCAGACTATTTCCAAGGTAATAAAAGTGTTACACGTAAATGTGTGTGCAGGCTTGTCTCGAATTGAAAATCTCACGTCAGCCAGCTGACCAAAGTTATTCATAAATCGATTTACTTGTTTGGATTACAAATTATAGCTGTGCTGTACTAGTGTACAGGGCTATACTGGCTCTCTGACATACTGTGCATTTTCCCGGTGGGCCGATGAGTTTGTGGTGTTTATGCAGTACTTAACAGTAGATACAGGGCTGCAGTTATGATTTTTAAAATACCAAGGTCAGAAGTTTTAGCCCTTCCTATGTGTGTCACAGACAGGATCGTGGTTATTGGAGGCAACTGAACCCTAACCGTAGGACTTGACCTCGGTCTCCTGAATGGTAGGTATGGGCATGAGTAGATACACTGGCAGGGCTTAACTAGGATCAAAATTCAGCCCTGTACTTTGGGATCCCCCATTACTACACAGTAAAATGTGCATTTTGAAAGTCTGGGGCCGAATTTAAATCCCAACCAGTGTATCTACTGTTAAGTAATGCACACCATTTCAGCTACCCAGCAATCCCCTTTAATCACATCCCCAAAATCGTTTGTCCAGTAACCAATGTTTTTGAAGTGTTTCCCTGAGAACACGCGAGTCACTTCTGCGGTATCCGCTTTCAGGCCATTGAGAACTGCGTGGCGGCTGCTGGGTTCAGCGTGGGCGAATTCGCTGCCCTTGTTTTTGCGGGTGCCATGGATTTCGAGGAGGGTAGGATATGTGAATGTGTTCAGGGCATCGCTGTTAATTTGAATTTTGCTTTTGGAATCTATGAAAACCATGTGAAATAATGTCCCGCCACAGCCCTCTATGTGGTGAAGGTGCGAGCTGAAGCCATGCAGGAGGCCTCTGATCGCACCCGGAGCGGTATGCTGTCAGTGGTGGGTCTCCCCAAGGCGAGCTACAGCGCAGCCTGTCTGCAGGCACGGGAGCACTGTCGGGCCCTGGGGGTGAAGGACCCCATCTGCACTGTCGCCAGCTACCTGTTCCCCGATGGCAGGGTCATCGCCGGCCACCAAGAGGTGACAGTTCCTGCCTTTGTTATTAGTAGCACAGCACGAGACATCATAGCAGGTTGTTACTTGTTAGCAGTGAAAAGAAAAAGAGCTCATTTTTATTTTCTATAAGCCTGCTTATTTTGTCACAGTGTCTCCTGTCATTCACCTCAGATTAGCAGTCAGGTTGAGCTAGGGGCGAGGCCACTGAGGTACTGGCCTCAGCTGAAAGCTGATTGGCCTCTGAAGTGCTCCCTGTTCTGTCAGTCATCAGTTTCAAACATATGATTGGGTATGATAAGGTTGACCCCACTGTATGAACTATAACCCCTCTTATGCCCTCCACCTTAAAATATTCGTGTAATGACCCCTGGGTCCCCCCCCCAGGCGCTGGACTTCCTGCGGGAGAACGCGAGGGCCCTGCACTTCCTGCGTGCACGGCCGCTGCCGGTGAGCGGCGCCTTCCACAGCCCCCTGATGGAGCCAGCGGTGGAGGCGCTCCGCGAGGTCCTGAGGCATGTGACGGTGCGGCGCCCCCAGGTGGCCGTGCATGCCAATGTGGATGGCAAGCGGTACGCACACGAGGCCCTCGTGCGGAGGCTGCTGGCTAAGCAGCTGGTGTCGCCCGTGTGCTGGGAGCAGACGTTGCAGGAGCTCTATGCAAGGGAACGGGGGAAGGGCTTCCCCCACACCTACGAGGTGGGGCCTGGCCGGCAGCTGGGGGCCACGCTACAGAGGTGCAACCTGAAGGCCTTCAGGAGTTACACACATGTTGACGTCGTCACCCCCCAGGACTGATGTAACCATAGAGACATGAGGCGTGATTTCATATGAAGACATCTAGTGTGTGTTTTTAAGATAATTAAAAGCTTTGATGGTATTTTTGTGTGTTCTGAGAGACCTCATTTTTCAGAAATTTCTACAGCTACTAAAGGAAAGAGGCATGACAAATAGTTATCAGAATATTAGAGCTAAACAGAGCTCATTTGTGTAAAAGTTGCCACTGCAGATACATTATGCAACAGAAGCAGCACCTTCTGCAGGAAGCGGAATCTCTGATCTCCCATAGTGCCTCTGAACCGCCACTCAGCTCAGCCATCAGACAGCGCTGTTCTCACTCAAGAATCATCACTTATATATATATGTGGGGCAGTTTTATTTATTTCAATTTTTGTACAAAACTTACTCTGGAGAAAACCAGCTCCCTGTAGAGAATTGTAAACAAGCCCAGCAGAATGTACCACAGAAAAAAAAAAGTTTTTACCCCAATTTTTCCCCATAATGTGAGCCAGTCATTATAAAGGTAGACTGTGAACCAGTCACAGGTATATTCAGTGAACCAGCACTTCATGTTAAATACTTTCCATTTTATGTTACTGAAAAGGTTTTGTTATGATATATTCTTTTTAATTTTCCTGTGATGGTGTTTACGTAGCGGCCAAAGCCCGGCCTTCGCCACCCTTCCCGCTTTCCTCCGTGTCTCCGCATCTCCTCTCAGAAGTAGCTCCAGGCCGCTGCTGTCACCAGCAGGATCAAGGCCACCAGTCCCCCACTGGGGTGAACACTGACCTGGGTGGTGACAGAGTGACACACATCAATAACATTGTTGCTAAAGGGAGTTTGCAATGTGCTAGAAAAGTGTCACATATGGAACTGGGTCATGACTGAGGTGGAGCATGTGACCAGGATGAATAAGAATGGAAGGTTCTAACCCAAATTCTCCATCTCTCAACTGTCTGGGTCATCTGTCGGCAGAGCAGCTCAGTCAGCCACCCTTGGATCACTGTGGTTACCGTGTTCAGTTCCCGCCAGACACCAGGAAACACCCTGAAATACAGCCACATGAGTTCAGTGACTGAAGCAGCTTTTTCATGGAACTGTTTGAAAAATAAAAATATATTATGAAATTTTGGGAAAATTCAGAAACAAAAACCAGAATTTTTCAGTGCAGTAATTCTTATCAGCTTTATTTTTCAGGAAAATCTGTACATTCCTGAACCAAAACCCTTCATTAAAAATAAACCAGGAAACACAACTCTTCAGCAATGAAGCACATTTTACAAGTGTTCCTAGATGGGCTGGCTTGGTGTATACGGCTTACCAGTAGGGGGCACCCCTGGCCAACAGATTGCCAATATCTCCTGGGAGCCATGCTGCCAGGTGGGCGTCGCTCAGCTGCCGATTCAGCTGGTCTCCAATCGCAGCCAGCTGCTGGCCGATGTGCCGCGCCGCCCTATGGCACAGCTCACAGTCAAAGTGGGGCCAGGGACAGGAAGTGACACGGTCAAACTGGGAGCAAAGGAATGCATGACCTCATACACAGTCACAGCACAGAAGGTAGGGGGAAAGGCGTGGTTATAGCTTCTTATCTCATGTTCACATCAGATTGAAGGTTGTTGGGAGTGGCGGAGATCCATGCCCATATCAGAGAGAAGGTTATTAGGGGAGGGGTGTTTACATCATGCCTGCATGAGAAGGATGCTTGCTGAGAGGGAGGTGCTTACCTCACATCTACATCAGCATGAAAGCCATTGTCTGCCTCACTGGAACCAGCCTGGAGACGCCTCATCTTATTGGGTTCTTTCCCCTGAGCAACCATCTTGTTCCTGGTTTAAATAATCCACAGTACAGGTGCCCTGTGTTTGCGTGTCTGTTTACCGCATGACACCTGTGTACTGTGTATGTCGAGCTATATTTGTACTGGCATGAGGTAAGAGTGCATGTGGAATGCTGTGTGCTGCGTACTGTACACAGGACTTTCAGCCATCTGTGACTGTAACATCCCGATATCCGTGAGCAAACAAAGCCTCACGTGACCAAGGGGTTTCGGTTTTGTTGCAAATGAAACAGCTGCCTGTCGCTCACTTCACTATTCTATCAAAAGATGATTGCGTCTGCTGCCGCAGAATATCCGATTTCATTTTGTGTCTGTACCCAGCTACACATTTGGCAAAGATTCCAAAAAAAAAAAAAAAATCTGTTTTTTACTTTCCTTTCCTGTAATGCCGTGCTAGATCCCCCCCAGCCCCATTAATGGTGAAATGCTCACAACAGCCATAGTTAAAATTCTACATTATGTTTCTCTCTTATTTGTCCTGTCTGCCAGGCAGAGCCGGTTTGAATGCAAATGGAACATGGTCATTACACAAATTACTGCCCTCCGCACAACATCCATGGCACACACCAATGCGAGAGATACTGGTGGGATTTACTCCTAAATGTTCAAAGTGCCAGGCTTTATAAAAAAATCAACAGCTGTTTAAAAAACCGAGTAATAAATCAACTTCATCGATAAGATAATGTCTAATCACTAAGGTTGGGTTTACAGCAGTATGTGTACATTGTGTGTACAGGGTTATGGTTTCTCCCAAACGGAATGACGTAATGCAAGTCTCAACACTACTTTATTGATTAATATTACTGGATGTTTTTACTAACAAAACTCATTTCTGTTTTCAAGGGTTCAGCAGCAGCCCTTCTGAGACTGAATAACATCAGTTCAGTTTAACTACTTTGCGACACTAACATTCATCAACAGATGTTTCCTCACCTACCTTGGTAAACTGAAAGTAAAATTTCCTTTTGAATTAATCTTTAAGTGAGACCCTTTAAGATATTTATATAGATAAGTAAATTTAGACAACTTATCAAATACTTTCTGTATTTAAAAGGAGTGTTTTCAGTTCAGTCACCTGAAATTGAATATAAATATTCTAAGAGGTAATTCAGTTCACTTTTGAAAACCCAGACTGAGAATCAGAACCAGCATGAGATTTATAACTGGGATTATCTGCGGTGGTAAGGATGGCATTTATTTTAATTTAAACTTTTGTAAATCACCATGTTCATGTACTGATGGCTTTCTATGTAAGGTTTGCATAATGCTGTACATAATCAATATCCCCAGCAGGGACGAATCCGCAGCCATCTCTGTTTAACAACAAAGGACAGGTGCATTGAAAAAGACTGGTCTTACCTGATAGCTTGTTGAAGATTAAAGTGAACGCCGCCCTACCACACAAAATTTGACAAGGTTACATTTAACACATTGATTTTTATTTAACATATAGTAATAATGCATTTTAAATCACATTGAAGTACTTACAGCAGCGTCCTTTAATCTTCTTGTTTTCAGGTAACTAACAGCAGCCCCTGTCACTGTGACCACGCCCAAGGGACTTTCTCCAGGAAGAGTGTAAATGAGTGTTTAATTGTGAAACCACAAGAGGGCGCACTCTTGCCTATCGGCCATAAAGACACAGCGAGCAAGTCAGCAGGAATCATCTTGAACATGTGTGCTGTGAGGCTGAAAGCAGGTGAAGTGAGTCATCGGATGAAGAGAATCAATTTAACCTTTATGATATTGAACCTCAATAGCCAAACAATTTGTCTTCAACCCTTCTTAACAATAAACCTAGTTTTGATGTATTATAAACAAGTGATGCAAATATGGTCTTGTCTCGTATTAAAAACAGATTAATGACACTTAGTCATGGAACTATAGTTATAGATACCATTGTGCAATCATGCATTTATCCATTTTCTGTATCCCCTTGTCTTATTTAGTGCTGCAGGTGGTCCAGAGCCTATCCCAGGCTTGAAACCTAATCCCAGAGGTGTGAGACAACAGTACCAAGCACTGCACCACCATTCTGCAATCATGTCATAATTATTACTCTCAGTACTATGATCTGCTAAACACTGATGAGAAAGTGTTTATATAAGGTCTGAACTTTGACAGCTTAAACTTATTTTGCTCAAAACCTCATTAGGCATCATTAGAGCTGCAAACCTTAAACCATTTTTTAATACTCATATTACCTCCTTACCCAAGAGATGCTTTCTACATCTGTTAAATATTGTAATTCTAAAGTGTCTTTGTTCTGATAGTACTGTTAAATACACCTTCAACTATAGGCCTCCTAATCTCAGCATTTAAATGTAGACCAAATACTTACTGATTGGTTCCAAGTTACCTCACCCTAACTGAGTGTAATTTACTTTAAACACTGCTGGTGTTTTTGTATTTCCTACCACATTTATTTTATTATTTATTGAGCAGAGACTTTTGTCCAAAGCCACACACAAGTAAGGGTCAGAAATCATGGTCAGCTAGTGTTCCGGGAGCAATAGGGGTTAGGGGCCTTGTCCAGGGGCCCACCAGTGATATGGTTACTCTCCTGGTCATTGGGACCTGAACCCAGCTAGTGTTCCGGGAGCAGTAGGGGTTAGGGGCCTTGCCCAGGGGCCCACCAGTGATATGGTTACTCTCCTGGTTATTGGGACCTGAACCCAGCTAGTGTTCCGGGAGCAGTAGGGGTTAGGGGCCTTGCCCAGGGGCCCACCAGTGATATGGTTACTCTCCTGGTCATTGGGACCTGAACCCATGACCTTATGGACATGACCACAAACCCCATGCCCACTGAGCTACACACATAATATCTTCCCTTCCATCATATCCACTTTGTCAACCTATCCATATTCACTGAATAGACCATCTTAGTAAGCAACTGGTTCTTGGGTGTTTGACTTCTAAACAATAATATATTCCAACACATTTAAAATACAAACATGTAAAAAACACATTACGTAAATTCAGTGATTAAACCATTTTCTTGATAGGCTCGTGGATAGTTCTGGACCAAAGAGTAACTAGTATTGCCTGAATACACACTAACATTGAACTGGAGGAAAGTCAATGTTGCCATTATTGAAATAGCTGAGGTATTTCTAAGTATGCACACAAATCATGACGACATTGTTGTCGTTTGGTACCAATGTGGTCACAGACACCTTTCCTGCTTTGTCCTGCCAACAATAATGTTCCATAGAAAACAAGAGCAGGATAAATAATATTGTCCACCCGCAAAATGCACGAGC